AAGTCCTGCAGTTTTGCTTCCATCACATTCTTTTGGATTGAGGCAGCTACAAAGGTCTGTCAGCCTCAAGGGGAGGTTAACATAGACCCCTCCTGTCTGTGGAGAAATTTCTGTGTCCATTTTGTAAGCAGACCATGTGTGGTTGGGATGTATGTTAGTGTGGGCATCTTTGGAAAGTATATTCTGCCACAGACTGTACCCCTAACTCTAACTTACAGTGCTGAATTTTAAAAGTTTACTGTGAAATTGACTTCTGCCCACTAGAAAAATACACAGCATTGATTTACGTGAAGTAAAACATAGAAGTCTTCTGTAGCCCAGGCCACCTCCCCATTCTGCACAGGTCCTTTAACATTTGATAATGTCTTTCCACACATGCCTGGTTGTGTACAAACACATATCTTTAAGATGAGAATGGTGAGGACCAGCCTTTGAGGAGGTCAGAGGACTCTATTTTCTCTCCTCTGCTTCTTCCTTGCCCCTTCACACTCTCATTAGGACAGAGGTGTTCACTGGCGTGTTGGTCTGTTGGGAACCATTCTAACACTTTTTGTGCCAGCTTAGTTTCTGAATTACTTGAGATAACTGATACTTATTGAAATACATTTCCTGGTTACCAAGATGGCGCACCTGGATTGTACTAAAACAGTGCTCTTTTTTTTGTTTTGTTTTGTCTTTTCTTTTCAGTTTGAAGGTTTACTTATACTGCTCACCTGTGACTAAAGAGCTGTTGTTAACTAACCCGAAGTACAGATTTTGGGAGAAACGAATTCGTAAGTTTTATTTTTTGAGTGACACTTTTTTTTTTTCAAGTGACAAATATTTTTCGAAGGAGATGGAACAAAATATTGGTGTTATTCAAAGCCTGCTTCCTCATACACTATATTTATCCACAGTAATTACAGTGTTGATATCTAGTCTTTGTAATTCATTAGTTTGGAAGAGGTTGACATTTTACTGTCATTGGTTTGTCTTTCCTGTCCTCAACATATGGATGTAGATTCTTAGTTCTGTCTAATCTCACAGACTGTCTTGCTGAGTTGCATCTTAATACTTTAGAGTGTACAACACTTATTAACATAATTGATAAATCCTCTTATTTAGATCATGGGATAGATTAGGAAAAACAAACATAACTTGTGGGTTATAATAAGAAAGGAATAGCAACCAGAATAAAAGCAGAATGGATAGTTTTGAATCTGGCAGAATAAAATGGATCTATCCAAAGGAAGGCAGATAATTAAAGTGAGAAAACGAAAGTGTGGTATGTCGAAAATGAGAAGAAAATGATAGAAAAAGTCCTGTTATAAAAGTAGTTACTACAAATATGAAAGGACTTAATTCAACTCTTGATCAAAAGACAAATTCTTGGTTTAGGTTAAAAAAAAAAAAAAGATCCACCAGTCTTGATCTACAAGAGACATAGATAACACTCAAGGAAAAATGCAGTCAAAATGGAAAAAAAATGGAGAAGATACACTGAACAATTAGAAGCTAAAAATGTCAAGTGGAAACTTTAAATCATATAAAGAATTGATGGCAATGGATGGACCTGGAGATTGTCATACTAAGTGAAGTAAACCAGAAAGAGAAAGAAAAATATATGACATAAGATAACATATGGAGAACATAAAGAAAAAAAAAACCCACAAACAAACTTATTTACAAAATAGAGACAGACTCACAGACAGAAAACAAACTTATGGTTACCAGGGAGGAAAGGCGTTATGGAGGGATAAATTGGGAGTTTGGGATTTGTAAATACTAACTACTGTATGTAAAATAGATAAACAACAAGGTCCTACTGTATAGCACAGGGAACTGTATTCTATACTTTGTAATGGCCTATAATGAAAAATAATATGAAAAGGAATATATGTATGTATAAATGAATTACTGTGCTGTACATCAGAAATTAGTACAACATTGTAAATCTACTATACTTTAATTTTAAAAAATTGAAGGCAAAAAATCATAGAGGGTGTTATTTACTGTTAAAAGGAACAGACCAAGAAGATGTGAATATACATACAATTGACAGAATAACCTCAAACCAGATGCAGTAGTAACTGATCACCCGGGGCTGGATCAGAGAAAGAGAACAACAATTAGTGGATAGAATTTGGGTCCATTACATGGATTAAACCATCAGTAATTGGGAAAGCTGGCAGAGAAGTATGAACAAGTGTCACCAAGAGTCTGTTTGATGTCCAACTGGTGGCAGTTTTCACCTCCCACGTCCAGCTTCCCCTTCTGCCCCACATCCAGGCAAACAGATAGAAAAGCTTACTCCTTCTGTGGCGCCTATGTGGAGTTCAGACATGTAAGCCCAGGCCTACACCGTGACCACAGTGAAAACCAGGACTACACACTTCTACTTTCACAGGCCCCACAAGCCACTTCGTCCTAGCCTGGGTACTGCCTTCCTGTCCCCAGAAAATCCCACGATGTGAGTCACGCAGTGTTTCACACCCTCTTGGTGCATGTATGATGTCTTCAGTCTCAGCCTCTGACCTATCATTGGGGTGGGGTCCGTCCCAACTCTGCAGGAGGACACAACAGCAAGGCCATAACCTTGGCCTTGAAATTAGGCCTGAAGTTGCTGTGAGTCAGTCCGGCCAGCAGTCGGGAAGGAAAGTTGAGAAAGGAGAGAAGAGTGAAGACACCCTGGAATCCACTGGGACAAATGGGTACCCACGTCTGCCTCTTGCTTTCTCAATCTTGGCCAACTGCCGCCCACTTCGCCACTGAGTCCGCACTCCTGGTTCACACACATCTGAGGGAGGATGTCCAGCAGAAGTGTCAGCGCATTGAGACAACAGATCAACAGCGTACACGAGCTGTTACGGTTTTTGGTGCCCTGCGGGGTGTTGAAAAATGGCTGCTGGTTCGCTTCTGCCTTCCAAATCTGACACGGGTTTCTTGTGGCCACTGCTAAGTTGGAAGTGTACATGGAAGGGGCTTGTAGGAGAGCTCCAGTTCAGTTGGGTTGATGTAGTGCAAGACCCCCCTCGGAATCTCAGGAGAAGGGGGCAACTCAGCAGTGGTAGCTGGAGAGCTTACTGGACCACTCTCTCAACTGAAAGATGTTGGAGGTTGGAAGTAAGTGAATATACAGAAGGTTTAAATGACATATTAATGCATGTGAACTAATCAAAACACAGAGCTTTAAACCTAACAGAGAAAGGGCGATCTTTATGTATAGATGGAACATTTACCAAAATTAAGCATGTACTCTGTCACTAAAGATGTTTCAAGAAATCCTAGTGACCTGTTCTTTGATCATAATGCAGTGATGTTGGAAATCAGGAGTAAAAGGAGAGCTTAAATCACTGCATACATATGGGAACTAGATGTATACCACAAACAGCTCTTAGATTGAAGAGGAAATTGTCAAGAAAAACACAGTACCTAGGACTGATGGACAATGAAAATAGGGCATGTCAAAGATGTGGGGCACAGCTAAATTGGTACTTGAAGGGACACTGATAGCATTAAGTGCATTTCTTAGAAAACAAAGATTAGAATTAAATGAAGTAAGTCTGATTCAATAAGAAGGAAAAGGAGCAACAAAGCAAATCTATGGATATGTGAAAGAAGGAAATGATAAAGAGAAAAGGACAGGTTAGTGATGCATAGACTAACAACTACCACAGGAAATAAAGGGGAAAATTAACGAAACTGAAAGCTGGTCACTAGAGAAATAGAGATAAATTTCTGCCGAGATTTGATGAAAAAACAAAAAACAAATATATCTATATATATATATATATATATACACACACACACACACATACACAGAATGATAAAAAGGAAAATGTTAATAATAGCATTGCATTGTTTTGAAAATTAGTATGATAATATATTTGATCATTTAGACACAGTGGATGAATATCTGTAGAAGTAGGGGAAACCAAACTGAGGCAAGAAAAATAGAAAACTTGAGTAAAGAAGTAGCCTTCAAAGACATTAAGACAAGTTTTCAAAGATCTCTTCTTCAAAAAAGCCCCAGGCCCAGATGGTTTTATAGGTACATTTGGCAAATGTTCAAAGAACAAATAATCCCTTTATAGGAGAGAATTAAAAGGTAAGCCTCTCAACCTCACTGGCAAAATGAATGAAGATAATATGTGGGGGAAAAGGCCATTTCATACATGAACACATGAACATCCTGTGAAGGTAACAGCAACCTGAATCTAACAGTGTTAAAAAATAGTGCATCATGAGTACAATGCGTTTATCCCAGAAATGCAAGGATATTTTCACATCTGAACCTCAGTCATGGTAAATTTTATGAGGTCAGATGACTAAAGAAATGAAGAATTATGATCATTCATCAACCACTTACTGAATGCATCTCTGTGCTGGTTGCTGTTCTAGTAAAATGTCCAGGTACCCTCGGTGAATTAGGCCAACAGTCATAGACTGATGGACGACTGTGTTCTGCAGCACAAAATCTAAATGTGATTATGTTTTTTACAAAGACTCAAGTTCAAAGGGAGAGGGGAATGGGAGCAGGAGGGATGAGAAGGTGAAGGGAGGAAAACTGAGCTCATGGAAGCAGAATTGCTGTATCTAAGGATGTGTAAGTTTATAAGACATCCAGTACATATTGCCACATCAGCCTCAAGAAATGTATTATTTTAGCTTATCATGTTTTCAGGCTGTTAAACTGATAGTATAGTGAAATCAGAAATTGTCCCACAGAAAGTCTGTAACTTCTTCTCTTTGCCCCCTTTTTACATTTGAAATGGCAAAGGTATATAAAGCTGAAAAAACCTGTGGAAATGTATAATATGATGTATACATGATCTCTTATTCTGTTTTAATAGATATCGATTGAAATTGAAACTCCTACCCAGATATCTTTAGTCGATGAAGCATCAGGCGAGGTAACTAATTTTAAATCTGTGTTTTTAAAAATTATTAGTGTTAAATGATTGTTTATCTTTCTCCTTGATTTTGAGTGCTCATTTAACCATAAATAAAATTTATAGTAAGTGAGTTTGTAGGGGAAAAAAAATCCACTTGTGATGTATTTACTTTCTACATCTAAAGATTGGACATGGTTTCTGTCAGAATTCCTCCTTTTTAATGTTAATGATGGGAACTCTGTAGTAATGATGTTACCATGTGATGTCACTGTTCCATTTATTCAGTTTATTACAATGTTCAGGATATAAAATTATGTGGTGCTTAATATTTTTGCAGCAAATTTATGTACATTGTGATTTTTTTTCTGAAGTATTTTCAAGAAAAAGACATTGTCCAAGCAAATCTAATTTATTTTTTGGTCCTTAATTTAGAAGCAGTTACTTTTGTGTGTGGCATTTATTTTTTAATAGTAAGTAGGATTGTGGATCTACCTCCTCTATTTATTTATTTACTTTTATCTCAGGTGATACATAGGGCTAGGAGGTGTTTTCCTATTTTATGGCAAATCTAGTTAATATTCATTCTGTAGCTTGACTATCACCTGCTTTGTTGACACATTTAACTTCTGAAGGGTGACCTTGGTGGGGTGGCCGTGATGGGACAGGGGCCGACTTTTCACATTTCCTCCCTGGAGATCAGACATTGAATACTCCTCCTCAAGTTACCATCCTGAGGGAGGGGAAGAGGAACGGCCTGAGCCTTCCTAATGCCATTCTGGGCTCAGTTAGTCCACACTGTTGGGGAGAGATGCTCTCAGCACTTGGCTGCCTGTGGCGCGTGTCAGTGGAAGGCTCTCTCAGAATCGGGCACCAGGCAGCAGGTGCCTCTCGGTGAGCAGAGTCCTCCTGTCTGACTGGTTCTTTCTGTTTCTCCTTGTGCACTGAGGCTTTTGGGCATCCTGCCTCCAGCTTTAAGCAATGGGAGAGCCCATTTTAAAGGAGCCCTCTGGAATAAACGATGCCAGACATACAGAAGGAGGTAACATCATTGAGCAGAGAGCTGGTGTGTCCAGAGCTCTGCCCCAGGTACTGAGCCCTGAGAGGCTCTGCCTGATGGGACGGTACAATGTGCTGTATGGTGACTTGAGACCAGGTTACATCAACTTTTTTTTTTAATGGTGGCATTATAGCTTTATTGAGACAAATTCACATACCATACAGTTCACCCATTTAAAGTACACAATTCAATGGCTCGTAGCATGTTCACAGAGTTGTATGTCCATCACCACAGTCAGTTTTAGGATATTTTCATCACCTGAAAAGAAACCTCGTACCCATTAGCAGCTACTCTCTGTTTCTCCCTCCCCACAACTCCTGGCAACCACAAGTCTACTTTAATTCTCTATGGATTTGCCTGTTCTGGACATTTCCTATAAATGGACTTGTATAATAGATGACCTTTTGTGGCTGACTTCTTTCACTCTGAATAATGCCTTCAAGGTTTATGCATGTTTTTTATGGCAAAAAATATTCCTTTGTTTGGATAGACCACATTTTGCTTATTCATTCATCAGTAGATAGACCTTTGGGCTGTTTCTACTCTCTGGCTAGTATGAATAGTGCTGCTGTGAACATTCACGGACGGGTTTTTACATGGACATGTGTTTTCATTTCTCTCGCGTGTGTACCTGAGAGTGGAAATTGCTGTCATATTGTACCCCTACATTTAAGCATTTGTTTTGTGTGTGAGGACTGTTTCTAGGATTCGGAGAGTGGGGAAATGAGAAAAGCCATACTGCATAGTTGAGAAGTACTTGCACATGCTCTATTAAGGAGGGCTTTCTTTAAGCTGGGTCCTAACGATAACGTCTATTTTTCCTTCCTTCCTTTCTTTTTAGAAGGAAGAGATTGTCGTGACTCTCTTACCAGCTGGTCATTGCCCAGGATCAGTCATGTAAGGAGGCTCTCTATTTTGCCCATTTATTTTGTGTAGCTGTGTGTGATATTTGGAGAAATAAACTTTTAGGGTCTAAAAATAACACGCACGGGGAGACTTGATTCTTTTTATGGCAACTCCTTTAATCTCTGTCTCCAAATTGAACTTGTGGGGCTGAGGTGCAGATCACCTTTGAAATGTGGTTTCCTTACGATGGAAGTCTCCAGTATTGATGTCTCCATCGGCTTCGCCTTTTTCCATCAAGTGATTTTTTTCTCTCCATGAGCAGGAATGATCTCAGCGTAAACCTCAGAGTGCTAACGTATTTCAGAGGACATCTCTTGCAAACTCAGCAGTATCTCCATCATATTATTATTTTTCCTACCCCTGGGGAAGAGGTGGTGGCTGAGTGTGGTTTAGAGCTGTGGAAATTCTGTTAACACTGTTCATAGGGGCTGTGTTTGGCAGGCAGCATGGGCTGTGGATTTAGTCTATATTTGTTTCATTAAATTTTTGTATGGCGCTTAGAAGTCACTGAAGGATATTTCCTTTTCAGGTTTTTATTTCAGGGCAACAATGGAACTGTCTTGTACACGGGAGACTTCAGGTTGGCAAAGGGAGAGGCTGCCAGGTTGGAGCTTCTGCACTCTGGGGGCAGGTACTGGGCTTTATGTAGTTCTCGAACAAGAAGGCTGCAGCATTTGGGGGGAGGGCTTAGCTCAGTGGTAGAGTGCATGCTTATCAAGCACGAGGTCATGGCTTCAATCCCCAGTACCTCTGTTACAAATATGTAAATAAACAAATACCTAATTATCCCCCAAAATTAAAAGATGAAAAATTTGAAAAAAAAAGTCTTCATTGTTTAAAAGGTTTTATTGCTCTTTTCCGCCCAAATATGAGCATTTGTTTCTATTAGAAAGCTAACTCGATTATAGTAATATTTGTAACAGTAAAGCAAATTTTTCTTCCTGAAATGAGCGATGGTAACATTTTGTGCATTGGTGGGGGTAGTAGTTGCATGAATTGGTCAAAATTCACTGAGTCACATATGCAACATCTGTGGGGTTTTTTTTTATTGTATGGAAATCATTTCTTAACAAAGTTGGTTTAACAAAAAATTCCACATGGAATGGAACATCATATCACATCAATGAGAGTTTACACTTTATGGTTTACTTGCCGTGAGATGATTAACACTCCTTATTTTGTTTTTGTTTCCAGAGTGAAAGACATCCAGAGTGTGTACTTAGATACCACGTTCTGTGACCCAAAATATTATCAAATTCCTAGTCGGGTATGTCTCCCCGGAGAAGCAAGTGACCCCCTGGGCTGCATTTCTGGAGGGAAGCTTGTAGGGTAACAGATCAGATGGTAATCGTTCCCGTTGGCGTTAATACCTGGGGACGTTGGGAATGGAAAAGCGTTACCTGCCTTTTAAAATTCCTGCACAGGAGGAGTGTCTGAGTGGAATCTTGGAGCTGGTCCGTGGCTGGATCACCCGGAGCCCGTACCATGTGGTGTGGCTGAACTGCAAAGCTGCCTACGGCTACGAGTACCTGTTCACCAACCTCAGTGAGGAGTTTGGGGCCCAGGTACCACAGCAGCTCTCTCTTTTCTGCTACTCCCATCCTTCCTCCCAACTCCATCTTCCCTTCCCCGTCACTCCCAAACTGGAAAGGGTAACGATGGATGCAGCCTTCATCACCTCCTTGTGGGAGCAACTGACAGTGGGAGGAGCCCTTTGGTGAAAAGTCCCATAAGAAAGTTTTTCTTTTTTCTCCAAAACTGTGGGTCATGAAATAGGTTTAGTGTCTGTAACCAGCACTGAGAATGAATTTGAACTGGGAAATATCTGAATGCCTTTCTTGCAGTCAGAGTAATTGTCGTTTTATGAAAATTTACATAGGGAATCAGCCATGTACATATCCAGATCTTCCTCAGCTTAACAATGGGGTCACGTCTCAGTAAATCCATAAGCTGGAAATATCATTAAGTAGAAAATGCATTTATCCCTGACCCACCAAACATCATGGCTTAGCCTTGCCTGCCTTAAATGTGCTCAGAGCACTTAGCCTACAATTGAGCAAAATCATCTAATGCAAAGCCTGTTTTATAGTAAGTTGGTGAAATCTCATGTGATGTGTTGAATGCTGTACTGAAAGTGAAACCCAGAATGGTTGTCTGGGTCAGTGGTTGTCAGTGGGTGGATCGTTCACCCTCATGATGGCAGAGCTGACTGGGAGCTGTGCTCTCTGCCCTGCCCAGCATCACGAGAGAGAATGTGACCATGTGTCACTAGTTTGGGAAAAGATCAAAATTCAGAATTCAAAGTCCAGTTTCTACTGAATGCATATCAGTTTCACAGCATCCTAATGTCATAGCATCCCAAGTTGGGACCATCGGTACATCCATTATGTGTGTGTGTCCAGGTTGCTGTGGAAACATATTTCTTACTGTGGGTCGGGGTCAGAAATGTGGGAAGAACACTGTCCTGGAGGATCCATATCACATGAGGCCATGAGCAAGTGTTCACCTATCCCTTCCAAGTGGTTGGGTGCTGGGCCCTCCGGACCTCGGGCAGCAGAGCCAGCTGCCCACAGGGCCCACTTGGGCTGCCTGGCTTCCACCCTCGTTCCCCAAGAGAAGATGGAGTTTTGGTGGTGACTGAACAAAATGAAGCTCCGAAAAGAGTTGGACATTTAAATTCTGCTCGGTTTTGCACCCTTTCCTGTCATCTCCCAGCTAACCGACCTGTGCCAAGAACTTAATTCTTTGATACCATGTAACTCAGCAAAACTAAAAAGATCTAGTTTTTCTGCATTTAAAAATTTAAAAATTCATCCCTCCCTCCTCACCCGCTCCTTCCTGCCTTCTTCCGTAAGTCTTTACTTTCAAGACCTTCCCCTAATTTCTTCCTTCCTTAGGTTTTTTTCTGTCCAAATAAATGGGTGTAAAGCTGCCAGTTCTCCATTTTGGGAAGGACTTGCTTTCCTGTGTTTTTAGATGTTAAAATGGCTTCCCCCGCCCAGAAAATAACAGTAACCTTTTAAATGAAAATCACAGTGATACTAGGTTGTGTGTGTGTGCTCACACACTCTCTCACACATACACTCATCTATACTATCTACTAATTTTTTCTTGTTTCTCATGTCCTCTCATGGCAGAATGTAAGGGTAGCAACCACTTGTCAGTCCCAAATTTGTTCTGTGTGAAATCAAAAAGACTGGAGGCTCCTGCTCTGAGGCCTGGCAGGGAGAAACCCTGGGCGAGGAGGGGTGTGGGGTTGGTGGAGGGGAGGCAGGCTTTTGGAGGCAACCCCGGAGTCCCTCTGGCATGAGCCTTCTCTGTAGAGGATAGAAACAAATTTAGCTCAGGAACCTGAAAGCAGAACAGTGAGGTCTTTTACAAGGGGACCTGAGAGATCGATCATCTGTGGTAACTTCCTCAGGCTTCTTCATTTTCGTGAGGATGAAAGTTTCTGTCTCTCCCTACGTCTCAGAATTTACCCCTTTTTATCTCCTTCTTAGGCCAGGAAAGGAAATTCATTTTTACTTCTCATTAGTCGTTAGTGATCAGGTAGCAAGAGCAACAGGCCACGGGCTCAGCAAGCAGTTGTGCTCAGACTCTTCTGACCCAGCCTTGGTGTTAATCACCGCAGCAGTCTGACATGGTTCTAACCCATTTCCTTGCTCAGACTTCAGAACGAGAATAGTTTGTGTGTGTGCCGTTCATTGTCCTGGTATCGACGTAGTTCTTCGCTGTTTACTCTGAAGTACCCAGAAGGAAGGATTTAAGGAAAACGGATACGTTGATTTCAACACCTCACACTGTATGAGCCTTAGAACTCTAAAGGTGGCCTAGGTTTGTCTGGTTTTGGCCTCCTGCGTCTGCCCTCCCCCTTGGCATCCAGGGGAGAGGCGTGTGGAGGGGAGGGTCTGGGGCTGGCTTCCCCCCAGCTGCCCTTACTCGGCGTGTCATGTGTGTCTTCACCAGCAAGCGATTCTTGGTCATTTGTGTCTGCCATGTTCACTGCGATACTCCCAGTATTGAGAATAAAGCTTGACTTGGAGCAGGTGCATAATCAGTATTAATTGAAGGACTCTTGACTGAAGGACAGTATTACGTGGTCCAGTGACATCCACCAGCCGAGTCACCACACTCTCCATTACCACTTACAACAGGTAGAAACACTGACTGCCGGGAACACAACCCTCATACTAACGTGCATGGGAAAAGCTGAAAACTAGGTTCGAGGAAGAAGAAAGTCAGTTCTAACTGATTGGCTTTCCCCTGCCTGATCACCCTCAAATGCTTTATTTACAGGAAATGCAGTTGCAATAACGTTCTGGTTTTGTTATTGTCCCCAGGTTCACGTGGATAAACTGGACATGTTTAGAAACATGCCTGACATCCTTCATCATCTCACCACAGACCGTGACACTCAGATCCACGCGTGTCGGCATCCCAAGGTCCGCGGGTGGTTGTTTTTCTTATTGTTTGCGTGATCCGTGAAAAGCAAAGTTTTAGGTCCAGAAGGCACCTCAGAAATTCCATTTTCTAGGCTCCTCAGTTTATAAATGTAAAAACCAAGGCTGAGATCTTGAGTTACTAATGCAAGCTCATGCAACTGTACATGACTATTCCATTACCATAAACTTCATCCTCAGTTTACAGAAATAGATACTTAGTTTTTAAATGCAGTATATTCACACACAATTGATAGGTTTCATTTGTAATGAATTATGTAATGAATAATATGTTATAATGAAATTAGTAATATGTTAAAGCTTAGAATTTAAGAAAACATTCACAATCCATTACTATTTATTTTTAAGACTCATGACACATGCATATTAATTAACTATTTTTTTCTGCTCATTTGAGATAAATATCAAGATACAGTTTTGCTTCAGATTTTGAAAAAGTTCCCTGTATTGCTGGTTCAATTTCAAATGACTTGTTTCTAGTGTTTTTGAAACTCACTTGTAATTGGTTTCTCATGCCAACAGATACTGCCTTCTCTGAGTAAATGCCGGGTGTTAAATTTGGAATTTACCTTTAACATTCTTTTCATTTTAATCTATATAGTTACTCAACATCACTAATAGTAATTAGTGATCTTCAAATGCAGGGGCATGCGTGATCGTAATTTTCCTCTAAATTTTAAAATATCTTAGCATTCAAATCTAAGTAATTTCTATTTCAGTAAACACTGCATGTGCACATTTAGATAATCACTGTGGTGGTAATACAGGCTCCAATGGCCAAAAACGTAAAGTAAAGCTGCTCAGCCCTAAGGTAAAGCAAAATTGAAAAGAAAAAAAAAAGAATAAAAAGGACTCTTACCCACAGCACAGCATGGAATATTCTACTTCAGACCAGGTAGGAGAGCTACTAGGTAAGAAATTACTTTTGATGATTGGTAAACTGTGTGCTACAATTTGCATTCATCAGTCTATCCCATATACACACACAAAAGATTATACTCCAGCTCCCCACCCCACAACCTACTTGAGAGTCAGTTGCAGGTGTCATGACATGTCACCCTAAATAAGAACGTTCTTTACAACCACAGTACAGTTCCCACTCTCAGGAAGTTTAACATAGTTAACAAGTTTACCATAACATGATATGGTACCATTAGATGTGATCCAGTTCACACTCAGATGTCCCCAGTTGTCCCAGTCGTGTCCTTTATGGCTGTGGAGTGGGGAGCAGGACTGTCCAGGATTAGTTAAGAATCATGTGTTACATTCACTCAGGCCTCTTTTAGTCTCTTTGGATGTAGAGCAAGTTGCCAGCTTTTTGTTTTTATTTCATCACGTTGACATCTTTGAAGAGCCCAGGCCAGCAGTTTTGTAGAATGTTCCTCAATCTGGACTTACCTAATTGTTTCCTCATCTCTACATTTTTCCCCCATGTCTGAAAACTTAATCTACATTTGATTTTGAGATCCTGCCTACAGATTTGTTGACTGTGTTGAACTAATTTCCTATGTTTTTAAAATCTTTTCTAGGCAGAGGAATATTTTCAGTGGAATAAGTTACCCTGTGGAATTACTTCCAAAAATAGAATTCCACTCCACACAATCAGCATTAAGCCATCCACTATGTGGTTTGGAGAAAGAACCAGAAAAACTAGTGTCATTGTGAGGTAAGCAAGTAACGTCATAAGGCTTTTGAGAGAAACCTTGCTTTGAGATAAACTGATAGTTGAAATGCAATCTAGCCTAAGTCCAAGAAAAGGATATAATTGTGGACAATAACTTATGAAATTTAAACTAAACCAAAGAAATGCTGCTTCCTAACCTATCTGTTGGCTAATACCATTAGCCAGTATTCATCTAGTTAGACAGAGATGTTTAGGGACAGAGTGTCTTGCTTGGCAGGGAGTTAATGCACTGACCTGACGCTGTAGGGAACAGAAATCCTTGGTGGAGTAGAGAGGTCCCATATATACACCTATGATCATCATAGTTTAGCCGATTTCCTTAACATTGGCTATTCAGAATGCCTACAGACATTTATATTTCTGAAAAGAGTTCCCTCCTTCCCAGGAAGAAATCGACGGCAGGGTGATTTTAGACCACAGCAGCCCCGAAGCACTTAGTTTTGCTAAGTGACCTTTAATTTTGTGTTTCCATTTCCCTTCAGAACTGGAGAGAGTTCGTATAGAGCCTGCTTTTCTTTTCATTCCTCCTACAGTGAGGTAAGAGGATCCCATGTACTCAGACCCTCGGCAGCCTTTGTGGCTGAGAGCAGGAGTCCCCTTCACCTCTGGGGGCATCCCTGTTTCTACTGCTTGAGACTGGTTGTGGCTTTTCCTAAAGAAATGCAGAGAAAATATCTCAGTGGATGAGCTATGTTTACTAAATATAAAGGAAATTACAAAGTGTAAAAGAAATAGAAAATTACCTATTTTCAGCCTAAACATTGAAGAAAACATAGATTAAGTTTTTTCTTCCTAACCTGCTTCCTAAATGTATTTCAAATTCCCCACGTCCGTTCACCTATCATAAAAGCATCATAAATCTTATTGGAAGGAGTACTACAGATAAAAATCTCACTATAGACAGCCTGAAGGCACTGTACAGAGTCTTGGCCTCTTCCAAAATTTGATTATACTGAAAAGCCATACAAAAAGTAGTCGTGACTATTCAGCAGTGTGGGAGAACAGGGTGACTGAGGTGCAGACCCTGTCCTTAGGAAGGATCCAGTATAGTAGAATCACTCAGTTGAAGAGGGCTTAAAATGGTTTTGTTACAGTACTTTTTATATAGGAAATTGACCTACTAGCATGGGAACCTGACGTAGGCAATTTAGCAGTGAAATCCTTTTGCATTTCCAAAGTAAATACTAGCATCTTGCAAGTGCAGAAGTGCAGTAATTTCATGTATTAGAGAAAAAGCAATACAAAACCAGGCTTTTTGCGACTCTTTCAATCATATATAATTTTAGTTTCACCGTTTCTGCACGTATCCCATTTCCCTGGTAATGATTACTTTTGTACTGGGGATATGTGGATGCAGTCTGCATCAGTGAGCCGTGGGAGGGGTAATGATTGGAATGGGTGGATTCTATCAGAGGTCCAGGTAGTGGTATTATTATTTTAAAAAAAGTTTTTATTAAAGTATTGTTAGTTTACTATGTTGTATTAGTTTCTAGTGTACAGCAAAGTGATTCAGTTATACATATATACATAATATACATATGTTCTTTTTCAGATTCTTTCCCATTATAGGTTATTATAAGATACTGAATACATTTCCCTGTGCTAGACAGTAGATGCTTATTGTTTATCTCTTTTGTATACAGTAGTGTTTACATGTTAATCCCAAACTCCTAATTTATCCCTCTCCCACCCATAACCACAACCACAAGTTTATTTTCTATGTCTCTAAGTCTGTTTCTGTTTTATAAATAAGTTCATTTGTATCACTTTTTAGATTCCACATGTGAGTGATGTCATACGATATTTATCTTTCTGTCTGACGTAATTCACTTAGTAGGATAATATCTAGGTCCATCCATGTTGCTGCAAAAGGCATTGTTTTATTCCTTTTTATGGCTCAGTAGTATTCCATTGTATATATGTACCACATCTTTATTCTTTATCTGTTGACAGACATTTAGGTTGCTTCCATGTCTTGGCTATCGTGAATAGTGCTGCTGTGAACATTGTGGTCAGGTAGCAGCCTTCTTATCAAGTCAACCATAGTACTGTAAATGATTCTTTGTTTATTAATCAAAGTATCACAGTGACATTTCTATTAAATAACTGGCCTTAATTTTCAGTGGGTTATCTGAGAGCAGCTTGGAAGTAATTCACCTGGATGGTATAGTTTAGTTAATGTTTTCCTCATCAGTCTATCCCAAATCTTAGGTTGTTGTCAAGCCCCTTCCTGGTGATTTGTCTTTGGTCTGGCGTCTGGCCCAGCATTGCTGTCGATCAACCTTCCTATTACCCTGTAGCATCTTTTCTGTCTCAGCCACAGGGAGTTCTGTCTTATTTCTCTTCTTCAGTGTAGTTAGCAGCCAAGTTGGGAAGCACAAGCCTTGCTGGGGTTTTACAGAGTTACCTCCCAATAAGGAGATATTTCCCTGCCAATAAGGAGATATTTCCCTGCTACTTGAGTAGGGAGGTGGAAGGGCTGACCTGCCGCTTCTCTTCCCGCTCTCCTTGGATGAGAGCAGTTACCCTGCACGTGGAGTTATCCTCTGAGCTCTGCTTACTCATCTTCTCTCACTGTGTCTGGTGAGAAAGAGAGAGGCTTTCTGGAAAACTGCTTTAATTAGTACACTTCTATCCAGTGTATAGGACTTGTAGAACTATATTTTAAAATGTAAATAGTAGATTTAAATAGCATTTCTGCTTGTTTTTTTCCCAAATATGGTTGATCCTCATTCTCGTGGATTCCATTATTTACAAATCTGCCCACTCAAGACTTGTTTGAACCCCCAAATCCGTGCGAGTGGTGCTTTGTGGTCTTTTGCAGATGTGCCCAGCAGAGAGGCGAAGAATTTGAGTTGCACATGGCACACACTCTCCCAACTCAGTTCACACACAGTGGCCTCCTGCCTTCTTGTTTCAGCTCTCAGACTATAAACAAGCATCCTTTCCACTGTCTGTGTATTGCTGCATTTTTTATATTTTTGTTCTTTTTGGGGGGTGATTTTGCTGTTTAAAACAGCCCCCGAGAGACGTGATGAAGCGCTGTCTAGTGCTCCTAAGAACAAGGAGGTTGTGACGTGCCTGATGGAGAAGGATAAGCTTTGATAAGCTTTGTTCGCCATGAGTTAGGGTGCCATTTGGTCCTGAGTTCAGTGTTAATGGGTCAACAGTATATGTTCAAAAAGATGTCTTTAAACAAAAACACACATAAAATAAGATGATCTATTAGATCAGCTGACGAAAGTGCTGTGAGCAGAGGTTCAGAGGAACCCTGTATTTCCCTTGGGAGCAGTGGGTCACTGTTTGCAGTGACTTTATGGAACAGAGCTACTGCAAATAATGACAACGGACTGTGTTAACGTAGTGTTTCAAAGCAGGCATCTCAAGAAAGGGCCTCGGCTTGTACAGTTGTGAGAGGGTGCCCTCCGTTGGGTGTCTCTTGTCTCCTTGTGGCCACCTCCTCTCTGAGTAGATACGAATCATTTCTGGTATACATTTGACCTTACCTTCTTTATTCTTTTTTTTTTAAATTGAAGTGTAGTCAGTTACAATGTGTCAATTTCCGGTGTACAGCACAATGTCCCAGTCATGCACGTGTATACATGTATTAGTTTTCATATTCTTTTTCATTAAAGGTTATTACAAGATACTGAATATAATTCCCTGTGTACCTTTTTTATTCTTATTCCATTCAAAAGCTTCAACTTTTTCTACCAGCCTCAACTTTGGATTTATTATGTAAGTCATTTAGGTTGTGGGCAGGTCAATAATGGTTTCTATTTGCATGTCTGCTCTGAAAATACTAAAGAAATTATTGATGACAAGTATCCAAAGAATGAGTCTTCCTGTCTCACCCCTTTGTCTTAATCAAGGCTCTCGTTTTATTTTAATACGGAGTTATCAGTAATTCCCGGGTTCCCTACCTCTTTTGACTTTGTCCTTTATTTGGAAAAGTCAGGTACTAACAATTACTTTGTGCCTCAGTCTCCCCATCTGCAGAAGGGGATAAAAATCTTTGTGTTGTCATCATCAACTTGTAATGGATCATTTTACTGCATGTTTAACCATGTGCCAGGGACAGGCTCAGCTCTTTACACGCCTTGTCTCATTTATACTTTTAGATGAAGAATCGAAGACTTAGAGGGTTTAGGTAACTTGACCGAGATCACAAGCTCACCAGGACCTAATAAGTGGCAAAGCCAAAGTTCGTCTGGGTCGTTGAGACGTTGTGAGGGATAGTGGCAGGGTTCCTGTGTTTAGCATTCTGAGCTTTGCAGAAAACCAAGGCAGTCTTGAAATTTTTGCACATAATTGTCTTAGATTAGAATAAACCATGAGAACAAAAATAGCAGTCTCAAAGATGTAGTTCCCCTGGGTATTGCTAACAAGTGTATGTCAGAGGAAAGAAATACAATTCTAAGACCTTGTTTCCTTGTGTGTATTAAATACTCAGCTTGATTCTAACTTCCTTGGAGGGGATTTGTTAACTATGTGGAGTCACCTTAGATAAGGAAACTGATGTCATATAAAGGAGCACAGAATCTTTGAATCCCATCAATCAGTGATTCTCCCTCCTTACCCTGGAACAGAATCACCTGAAGAACTTTTAACTATGCTGATTCCCAAGCTCCACCATGGCTCAGTGTTAGAGGATCTTTGGGGTTGGGCCTGAACTCTTGTCCTGAGAGGTCGCAGGCGCCTCCCATGTTCAACTCCCACTGAAAACCGCAGCCTTGAGAGATTCCCGCTTCTCCTTCCCCTAGCACCCCCTCATAGGAGCATCTACTCTTCTAGGTAGGTTTTTCACCGTGGGGATAATTGATGCATTTTATTTTCCTTCTTCCAGATCAAAGATTTCTTGAGCTACATCAGTCCTGTCAATGTGTATCCAAATGTCATTCCATTAGGCACAACTATGGATAAAGTTAAAGAAATGTGAGTAGATACCACTCGGAGAACCTGTGTTACCAAACGGGATCGATGCAGAGAACAGTCTCGGGCCTGAAAAGGGGCAAAGGCATCAGATGGATGTGGCTGTAAATACTGGTTGGGTCCTGGTTGGGAGCACAGCGGCTTTCTTCAAGTGAGCGTGTGATACATAATCCTTAAGGTTTTGGGAATCTGGCATAAGGAAGCAGCTGGCAATGAGGCTGCTGAGAAGGGCAGGACACACTCCAATCTTATTTTGTATTTTATTTCCACTATGTCTTAGCATTCAGTCTCTAAAATGAAAAGATCAAGTTTGTGAGATTCTTGCAAGAGACAAGTGAACCCCAATAAACTGGGAAGGGGAAGCAGCTAGCTGAACTGAATTTCCTGAACTCTGGAAGGTGCTATTCTATTAGTGGTTTGTTAGAATAGGGGCCTGCTTTTCTGCAGTGCAAGATAAAAGTTTTGCTCTCCCTCAATCCTACAATTAGATGGGTGTCTACTAAGTTGTTCTAAGGGCTTATAGTTACCACTTTATTATATTGAAGTAATTTTAAATTATGAAACATTGCTTTTCAGTTTTTAAAAGTAGTGGTATGATTTCCCCCGTAGTCACGTTTTTATGACCTCTATACATGATGCTTACGTTTCTGCAGCTTCAAATAAAATACTCGTATTCATTCCAGCTTGAAGCCTTTATGCCGATCCTCCCAAAATATAGAGCCGAAGTATAAACCCCTTGGAAAGCTGAAGAGAACGAGAACGATCCACCGAGACACAGGTAAGAAGAACGACCCTGGGGTGAGAGGCGTGGGTTCCGCTGCAAGACTGCTTTTTGGGGTGCTCTGGTCCAGTGCAAGCTGCCCCGGGTAGAGGTGGACCCGGCAGCCACTGGAACTCAGACTTGTCACGTGGCCTCTGGAAGCACTCTGCCTTCCAGCTTCAACCTGTACATTCAGGAGTCAGACCCCCTTCCCAGGCTTAGAACACATGGCAGAGAACTTGTGTTGAGTGCTGGCCTCAGCTTTCTGGAAATGCGCCCTGTGGTTTGTGTAGGCCGTAAGGGGAGGCTGTGCTGTTGGCCTCAAACATTTCCTTCAAGACACTAGTAAGAGCTGATAAAGAGCCATCCCATTGGTCAGTATGTGTTCATACAAATGGCTTCTCTCTGTACTTTCCTACCTTCTTTTGTGCAGCTTTCATTTTCTAGAGAAGAGCAGAGGTAAGCTCTGAGGGAGAAACCAGAACTTCAGATTCTGAGCAAAGCTGTCAGACTTCGTGGTTAGGATGCTGGGTTTTCATTGCTTTGGTGGGGACCCAGAAATGGCGCCATGCAGAGCCCGTAGCTGGTCCAGGACCAGAACATAATCATAACGATGATACTGTTTATTGAGCCCTGCTGTACGGCAGGTATCGTGCTTGGTCCTTTACAAATATTATAGCTAAATCCCCAAACAAACCTACAAGGGGCATTGTCATCCCACTTTTACCAATAGGGAAAGAAAAACTTAGGGATAGAAGTAAATCCTCCAAAGTCTAGCCAGAAGTGAGTGACAGGTGAGGATTCTCACCCAGGCCTATCTTTTCATCTCCATTTCTGCATTTCCTCTCATACAGAATCTACCTGGAAAACATTCAGATGCCAATTCCAGGACGGCTACAGTAAGCCCATTACTGGTGCCTGAAAGGAAAGCACATTTACTTTTGTTTTAAGAACTAAAAGGTCCTAGAAAAACAATTCCATTAATTTCAAAAGTTAAATCTATTAGGTAACACATCTTCTCATCCTTCTCTTCTACAAAGTTATTTGTAGTTTAAAAAAAAAGTTTTACTGAGGTATAATTGATATAACTGCACGCATTTACAGTGTTCAGTCTGACACATTTTTACATATGCATGTACTTGAGAAACCGTCACATAATTAGGATAATGAAAATCTCCCTCAGCCGAGGCTCCGGGTGCCCCTTGTAGTTCCTCCCACTGCCCCTCCCCTCCTTCCCCACTGTCTGTCACTACAGATTAGGTGGCATTTTCTAGACTTGTATATAAATAGCATCATACTGTATGCCTGACTTACTTCACTAAGTGTGTTTATCTTGAGGTCCATTCATGCTGTTGCCTGCGTCAGTAGCTCATTCTTTTGTACTGGTAGGTAGTATTCCACGGTATGGGTATGCCCCAGGTTGCTGATCCATTCACCTACTGAATTACATTTGGGTGGTTTCCATTTTGGGTTATTACATATAAAGCTGCTGTGAACGTTCATGTACAAACCTTTGTGTGGATGTATGCTTTCATACCTACAAGTGGGCAATACGGTAGCTGTATCTTTAAGAAATGGCCCAACTCTTTTCCAAAATGGTTAGACCGTTTTGTGTTCTTGCCTGTGTATAGGAGTTCCATTGCTCTACTTTGTTGCCAATATTTGGTGTGGTCAGACTTTAATTTTAGATATCCTAATGTGTGTGTAGCGGTATCTCATGGTTTTAATTTGAATTTACCTAATGACTAGTGAGGTTGAGCACCTTTTAATGGTTTTATCTGCCATTCATGTATCTTCATGCGTGAAATGTCTTTTCAGCTCTTTATCCATTTTTAAATTGTTTAGTAACTTTTTTGTTACTGAGTTTTCAGAGTTTTTGGATTTAAGTTCTTTATCAGCGAGATGCTTTGCAAAGATTTCCTCCAGTCTGTGGCTTATCTTTGCAGTCTCAACAGACTCTTTTGAAGAGCAGAAATTTTTAATTTTGAAGAAGTTCACTTTACTAATTTCTACTCTTTTTTTTTGATATCATAGGTAAGAAATCTTTGCCTAACCCAAGGTCACAAAGATTTTCTCCTCTGCTTTCTAGAGGTTTTCAGAGTTTAGGTTTTTCATTTAGGTCTATGATCCATCTTTGGGTTACTTTTTGTATATGGCCTGAACTGTAGATCCAAGATAAAAATTTTTTTGGTGCCTCTGGGCATCCAACCATTCTAGAACCATTTGTTGAAAATACTGTCTCTTCTCCACTGAATTGTTTTTGCAGTTTTGTTGAAAATCAATTAATAATATATGTGAGGGTCTATTTCTGGACCCTTATGATCCATGATTCTCTTTCTTGATACCAATATCTGTCTCAAATATGGTAATTTTATAAATCTTGATGTTAAGTTATGTAAGTATTCCACTTTTTTTGGTTCTTTTTCAGAGTTGTTTTGGCTATTCTATGTCCTTTGCAATTCGTACAAAAAAGTCCACTGCTGGAATTTCTATTGGGATTGTGTTATATCTATTGATCAATTTGGGAATATTGACATCTTAACAATATTGAGTGTTCAGATCCATGAACATTTATTTACATTGTCTCTAATTTCTCTCAGCAATGTTTTGTCATCTTCCGTGTATAGGTCTTGCACATCTTTTGTTAGATTGATCCCTAAGTGTTTCATTTTTTGGTTGCCAGTGTACATTGCATTCCTTTTAAAATTTCAATTTGTTTGTTGCTGGTATATAGAAATGCAGTTGACTTTTGTATTTTGATCTTGTATCCTGCAACTTCACTAAACTTGTGTATTTATCAGTTCACTCACTGCATTTTCTACGTAGATTATCACGTCTGTGAATATAGACAATTGATTTTTTCCTTTCCAGTATGGTTGCTTTTACTTCTTTTTCTTGACTTATTAACTGGCTAGATTTCCACTACAATAATGAATAGAAGTGGTAAGGGCAGATGTCATTGCCTAGTACTCAGTCTTGAGGGAAAGAATTCATTTTTTTCACCATTAAATATGATATTAACTGTAGATTTTTCATTCATGCTTTTCATCAGGTAGAGGAAGTCCCTTCTATTACTAATATTCTGAGTGATTTTATCAGGAATGGATATTGGATTTTATCAAATACTTTTTCTGCATTTATTGAACTGATTATATATTTTTTTCTTTTTTAGTCTGTTAATATGGTGAATCACACTGATTGAATTTTCAGGTATTAAACCAACCTTGCATTTCTGTAATAAACCCCATTTGGTTGTGACATATTATCCTTTTGGCTATTATTCAACTTGATTTGCCAAAATTGTGTTAAGAATTTTTTCATCTATGTTCAGAGGGGCTATTGATCTGAAGTTGCTTTGTCTTTTTTTTTTTTCCCCCATGCAATATATTTGTGTGATTTTGGTATTGGGATAATGTTGGCCTTGTTGTACAATGTTCCTTTATCTCTACTTTCTAAAATAGTTTATGAAGGATAAGCATTGTATCTTTCTTAAATAACTGGTAGAATTCACCAATGAAGCCATCTGAGCCAGGAGTGTTCTCTGTGGGAACATTCTTAACTATAAATTCAATTTAATAAGTATAGGGCTATTCAGATTATTTGTTCTTAAGTAAACTTTGGTAAATTGCATCTTTCAATGAGGATTTGGCCATATCAGCTAAGTTGCTCAGTTTTTTGGCTGAAACTTGTTCATAACTGCCCCTTGTTATCTTTTCAATATCTGTAGAATGTAGTGATATCAAGTCTCTCACTCCTGACATTAGTAATTTGTGTCTTTTTTTTCTTTCTTGATCAGTCTAATAGAGGTCTGCCAATTTTATTGTTCTCCAAGGACAAGCTTTTTGTTTCATTTGTTTTATTTTTTTTCTATTTTATTGATTTCCACTCTGACCTTTTTTCCTTCTGTCTGCTTACTTTGGGTTTATTTTCCTCTTCATATTAAAATTTCTTAATGTGGAATATGAAGTCATTGATTTGGGCCTTTTCCCCTCTAACACAAGCATTTTGTGCTGTAAGTTTCATTCTTTAGTTGTTGTTACACAGATTTGACTTGTATTGTCATTTTCATTCAGTTCAAAATAGTTTCTAACTTTTTTTTCTGATTTCTTCTTTAATACATGGGTTATTTAGAGGTATGGAGGATTTTTCAGAGATAATTCTGTTACCTAGTTTTATTGTGGTCAGAAAAAATACTGTATATGACATTTACTGAGATTTATGGTCCAGAATAATGGTCCATCTTGGTAAATGTTTCATGTGTATTTGAAAGAAATATGTACGTTGCTGCTGGGTGTTCTATGAGTGTCAGTTAGGTCAACTTAGTCAATAATGTTCAAGTCTTCAATATATTTGCTGATTAACTTGTTCCACTTGCTCTATGAATTATTGAGGGAAAGCTATTGAAATCTCCAGATATAATTGTGAATTTGATTTCTCCTTACAGTTCTATCACTTTTTGCTTCATCTATTTGAATCATGTTACGACTGTTATGTCCTCTTGAAGAACTGACCCCTTTATCTTTAGGAAATGACTTTTTTTATTCCTGGCAATATTTTTAGCTTTGAAATTAACTTCATTGGATATTAATATAGCCACTAGAGTAGTGTAAAGGGGCATCTCATTATAGTTTTGATTTGTATTCTCTATTGATGTTGAGCTATTTCTGTGTGCTTATCAGCCATGTATTTATCTTTTTTGGTGAAATGTCTGTTTGAATGTTTCACTCATTTTAAAATTGGATTATCATTCATTCTAGTTCTGTGAAATATGTCCTGGGTAATTTGATAGGGACTGCATTAAATCTGTAGATTGCCTTGGGCAGTGTGACATTTTAACAATATTAATTCTTCCAATCCAAGAGCATGGGATATCTTTCCATTTTTTAAAGTCGTCTTTAATTTCCTTCATCAATGGTTTATAGTTTTCTGTGTATAATTCTTTCACCTCCTTGGTTAGATTTATTCCCAGATATTTTATTACTTTGGGTGCTATTTTAAAGAGGACTGTTCCTTTACTTTCTTTTTCTGTTGATTCATCGTTAGTGTAAAGAAATGTAACTGATTTTTGAATGTTAACCTTGTTACCTGCTACCTTGCTGAATTCTTCAATCAGCTCTCGTAGTTTTTGTGTGGACCTTCTAGAGTTTTCTATATATAGTAACAAATCATAATAAAATTTATATGGAACCATCAAAGACCTAGAATTGCCAAAGCATTACTGAAGAAAGAAAGAGGCTGGAGGAATAACTCTCCCAGACTTCAGACAATACTATAGAGCTACAGTCATCAAGACAGCATGGTACTGGTACAAAAACAGACATATAGACCAATGGAACACAATAGAGAGCCCAGAAATGAACCCACAAACTTTCGGTCAACTCATCTTTGACAAAGGAGGCAAGAATATACAATGGAATAAAGACAGTCTCTTCAGCAAAATGTGCTGGGAAAACTGGACAGCAGCATGTAAAACAATGAAGCTAGAACACACCCTTACACCGTACACAAAAATCAACTCAAAATGGATCAAAGACTTAAACATAAGACAAGATACAATAAACCTTCTAGAGGAAAACAGGCAAAACATCATCTGACATACATCTCAAAAATTTTCTCCTACAAGAAATAAAAGCAAGAATAAACAAATGGGAACTAATTAAACTTACAAGCTTCTGCACAGCAAAGGAAACCATAAGTAAAACAAAAAGACAACCTACGGAATGGGAGAAAATTTTTGCAAATGAAACCAACAAAGGCTTGATCTCCAGAATATACAAGCAGCTCATACGACTCATTAAGAAGAAAATAAGCAACCCAGTCCAAAAATGGGCAGAAGACCCAAACAAGCAACTCTCCAAGGAAGACATACAAATGATCAAAAGGCACATGAAAAAATGCTCAATATCACTAATTATCAGAGAAATGCAAACCAAAACTACAATGAGGTATCACCTCACACCAGTCAGAATGGCCATCATTAAAAAGTCCACAAATAACAAATGCTGGAGAGGCTGTGGAGAAAAGGGAACCCTCCTACACTGCTGGTGGGAATGCAGTTTGGTGCAGCCACTGTGGAAAACAGTATAGAGATTCCTCAAGAGACTAGGAATAGACTTACCATATGACCCAGAAATCTCACTCCTGAGCTTGTATCCAGAAGGAACCCTACTTCAGGATGACACCTGCACCCCAGTGTTCATAGCAGCACTATTTATAATAGCCAAGACATGGAAACAGCCTAAATGCCCATCAACAGGTGACTGGATAAAGAAGAAGTGGTATACTTATACAATGGAATACTACTCAGCCATAAAAACCGACAATGTAACGCTATTTGTAGCAACGTGGATGCTCCTGGAGAATGTCATTCTAAGTGAAGTAAGCCATAAAGAGAAAGAAAAATACCATATGAGATTGCTCATATGTGGAGTCTAAAAACAAACAAAGCATAAATACAGAACAGAAATAGACTCATAGACATAGAATACAGACTTGTGGTTGCCAAGGGGGTGGGAGGTGGGAAGAGATAGGCTGGGATTTCAAAATTGTAGAATAGATAAGCAAGATTATCCTGTATAGCACAGGGAAATATATACATGATCTTATGGTAGCTCACAGAGAAAGGAATGTGACAATGTATATATATTCATGTATAATTGAAAAATTGTGCTCTACACTGGGATTTGGCACATTGTAAAATTATTATAAATCAATAAAAAAGTTTAAAAAAAGGTGGCAGAGAACTGGAAAAAAAACGACAGCAAAATCAATTTTGTTGAACTTTTAGTTATTGACATTCAATGTGGCTTACTTGGTATTTTGGTTAAAGTTGATCTGTCTGTATTTACTCCAGTATCTTTATGACCTTGTGCCCCTAGTGTAGGCTGCATGACAGTTACCAGAGATGGGGGACTATTTCTCACAGTCTGCAGGCTGCTGGGATGTCCAAGATCAAGATGCTGGCAGATTTGGTCCTTGGCAAGGCACACTTCCTGGCTTTCAGCCACCTTGTCACTGCTGTGCAGTTCACATGGCCCTTCCTTTGTGCATGGAGAAAGGGAGCCGCCTGCTTCTTCTGCTGCAAGGACGCTAACCTCGCATGTGGGTCCCATCCACATGTATTCATCTCACCCTAAATGTCCCCCCTCCAAACACTGTCACATTAGAGTGAAGGTTTAAAATTATTAATTTTGGGAGGACTCATTCAGCCCATAACATGTGCAAAGTAGGTATCAAAAAAAAAAATGTTCACAGAAGGAAAACTTTAGAAAAAAATTTTCTTTTTGTTAAATCAGCCAACTCGTTGAGCATCTGAGTTTACAAACCTTTCTCTGGGTCCTGGTGGTTTGAAAACCTAGCTGATGAAGAGAATCAGCTGTAGAATTTAAAATATAAAGCAAAAATGGAATTACTAGGTCCTACTTTTAGGCACTCAGTAAGTCTGGAAAGACATAGGAAGCTGGATTTTTAAAAAGCTCTGCAGGTGAGCAGCACTGTGGCCTTGGGGAGCACAGATCTGAGCCTGGCTCTGTCAGAAGTTGAAGGATGGTAGTTAAGTTGTTCAGAATATCCCAAGGGGCCTTTTAATTTCTCTTGAAGACTGAACTCCCTATTATTTACAATTCCATGGATTAAAAAATGTAGCTAAATGCTACAAATTGGGTTTTTAATTACAAGCACCAGTTGGCTCCTCTTGCATTCTGAGTCCCCTATAAACCTGTTCTGTCTGTCCCGCAGAGGAAGAGGACAGTGATCTCTTTGATGATCCTCTGCCAATACCTTTAAGGCACAAAGTTCCAAACCAGCAAACGTATCACCCTGAGGCACTTCCAATGAATGAAGCGTCACAAAACCAGCCTGAAAAACTGACAGGAAGAACAGGATGCTGCAAAACAGAGAGAATGCCAACATCTCTTTGGGCAGACTTTATAGACTGTGAGGAATCCAACAGTGAAAGTGAAGAATTAGAAACCCCAGCTTCAGCTGAAGGAGACATGGGTCCCGTTCCCCATCCCCAGCAGAAGGCTGATGGGGAAGTACCACAGTGGGAAGTGTTCTTTAAAAGAAATGATGAGATCACAGATGACTCTTTGGAAAACCTCCCTTCCTCCACAGAGGCAGGGGGCTCTCAGTCCCCGAAGCTTTTCAGTGACTCTGATGGGGAATCAACTCACATCTCTTCCCAGACTTCTTCTCAGTCCACACACATCTCAGAACAAGGAAGTCAAGGCTGGGACAGCCAATCAGACACTGTTCTGCTATGTTCCCAAGAGAGAAACTGTGGGGATCTTCCTTCCTTGAACAAAGGTGGCTGTATAACAGGAATGAAAGAACATATCCCTGCCTCTCCAATGGAACAAAATGTACTCTGCCCAAAGGATACGTACTCCGATTTGGAGAGCAGAGATCAAGATGTAAGTATAGTTCCTAGTACTGGAGAACCAACTGCTCTAAGCAGTGGGAAGCACATGAATCAAGAGAAAAAGCCACAAAATCTTAGCAGCAACGCAGATTCACAAAGCTCCTCTGATTTTGAAATTCCCTCCACTCCAGAAGCTGAGCTACCTAAACGAGAGCATTTACAGTGTTTATACGAGAAGCTGGCAACAGGGGAGAGCATAGCAGTTGAAAAGAGCTCCCTTCATTCTAGAGCAACCACTAAGAAACCTATACAAATAGGTAGCAGTCAAAATGCTAACAGATGAAAGTTAAACTACTTAACAATGTTTATATAACCTAAAAGGCGGCAGAGTGAAGGAAATGGAGGACCAAAAAATGGAAAACTCAGAAAACAAGATATGGGAGAACTAAACCCAAATGGATCAATAATTACTTTAAAAAATAGTCTGAACATACCAATGAAAAGACGGAAAAAACAGCTCAAGTATATGCTGTCTATAAGAAAAACTCACTTCAAATACTTTGGGTAGGTTTACCGGTCAAAGGATAGAAACCTTTACTGTGTTGTAAACATTACTTCAAATTTGGAGTGGCTGTGCTACTAATGGTAAGAGGTCCAGCTCACCAAAAAGACATAATCCTAAATGAGTATGTACCTAACCACACCTTCAAAATATACAAAGCAAAAACAACCAGAAGGAGAAAAACAAACTACTGCACACAGATATAGCTGGGGACTTCCACATTCCTCTCCCAGGAACAGAGTTAGTCTACAGTCAGCAAGGATATGGAAGAACTGAACAGCACCAGCAACCAACTGGTCTTAACTGCAACCAAGAATATGCCATCCAATGGAGAACACATGCTTTTCAAGTGCACACAGGACGACAGTCACCAAGATAGACCATATCCTGAGCCATAAAAACACTTCAAATTTAAAGAATAAGCTTGGATCTATTACTATGAACTGATGGCTATAGGAGCATCCCTTATTTATCTCAGATATCCCATCCCTTAAAAAAGTTACAGTGGTAAAATTAAAGCTATAAAAATTAGGACAAAATAAAATGGCAAAAGTATAACGTGTTTGGTGAGTCATTCAGCTTGTTTAAAGTCCATCCATAAGGTATGCTTTGTATAATTGACGTGGATTTAGCAAATTTAGTAACAAACATTCATAAATACTTTGGTTTGCTGTTTCATAAATTTAGAAAGCAAAAGCAGAGATTTCACTTAGAGCAAGTTTAAATGGTGTGTCTAAAACACAATTTGCAGATCAATTAAAATAATAATGAAACACATTATCACCATGCTGCATTTTAATTAGAACAAAAGTAAGTACTGCAGCCACAAAACTAATTAAGGTTATAAGACGCAGTAAGTGGGAGAGGAAAATAAAGGGGGTGTTTGGAGAAACCAATGCCAAGAGGACCCAGCAAGCCAGCCCTCTCACTTGTCCCGAAGGGAGTTATCCTCTCCCAGATGTTGGGAGGACAGATTAGCCCTTGCCACTTACATGGGGGAAAAGCTGGACAGGGACACCTCCCCTTCAAATTTCAGCTAAGAAACTGACAGCCGAGGAGGGATGTGGGGAAGTAACTGACGTGGTTATTAAGGGATAGGGCTGCGAGTAAGGGGCCTGGTTCAACTCACTTCTGACTGTTCTTTAAAGAGTACATTTGTAGTTAGTGTCTCTGCCCTAAATTATTCAACAGTAAGTTTTACTAATTGTATACCAACAGCTACCAGAGACTGGTCTGAGCGTGGAAAGGTGGCTGAGGGTAAGGAGTTTAAAGGGAACACTGACCTCTTTTTTTCTAGCTCAGCTGCTACTCTGAGCTTCTGATGAAATCCACTCTGCAGGCTCAGTGTGACTGGGGCAGGATTATAGATAGTTACATTCACTCCCTTTTGCCCTGCTCCCCTATGAGTACTGTTACCTAAGTTCAAGGTGAATTTAAGGTCGCTAGAGAGAACCAGAGGGGAGTGCAAAATGTTGACTACTCCTAACTACAACAGGCCTATTACAGGAACCCAGGCACTTTATTATTTCTGGCTCCAAAAATTAGTTACACTTCATTATCGTAATTACATAATCCAATGTAACTACCACATACATACATACATTTATACATATTCACTGACATTTAAGACTTCATGTTAATACAGCTTATATTGTTAATAGTGCAGCTTATGATCCAAGGTGGGTGTTCAAAACATGCCTGTAAACATTCTTCTAAATCCATTTTTAGCATTTTATAATCAATCAGTTTAATATTCCATAAGGCCACTTTTTTTATGCTTTATATTTGAGTGTGGTATAATAAATGCTGGCTGAGTGAATTTCAGGGCTAAGAGCACTAGAACAGACTTTGATCAAAAAACTTGTAGTGATCACCAAAGCTTTTAAAGTACAGGTTTATAGTACAGAATAATTACAGTAATACTTACACATGGTGCTTACTGTGACAAAGCCTACTTCTCCACACTGTACATTAACTCCCTTACTCCTCACAACCACCCTTTGAGGTAGGTACGTTTATCATCCCCATTCACAGACACGGCGGCTAAGGCACTGAGAGGTCAGCACACGAAGCTAGAGAGGGGTGAAGCCAGGACTCGAACAGGCACTTCAGGCCTGAGTCAATGCTCTTAACCGCTGTGCACTCAAGCCGCTCAAGAGCATAAAAGTGGGCAGGATTAATTACAACGGCTACTTCATTTTAACTTCAAGAACTGCGAAGTGTAAAAGGAGAAGTGAGAAAAAATTCAAATGCCAAGATACATCACAAAAGAAACCCAGTGGCTAGACACGTTTGCCTTAAAGAGGAATCCAAGGCTTAGAAGTTTGTTTGAACTAAGAGTAGAAATTAATTTTTTTAAAAAAAAGTCTGCCTGAAGTTGGTTAAGTATGTTAAAAATAGGTACAGTTTATGATCTTCGGCATGTTAATGTCATCTAGCCAGTCTAAGCCTATTTCTTCAGTGTTTTAGGGAAGACCCCAGTCTCATCGACTTACGAGAAGCACATGAGTACATATAACAGGCCTATGCCTTGCTCAAAGAACAGCAGCTATAATTCTAAAATTCCTCTGCACTTCCAGGCAGGGCTTGGCACAATACACTTAAGTACCTGGTGACCAATAATGTCAAAAATTTTACAAAGTATCCATCTACATTATGCTAAGTGTAAAAATCTACTTTAATATTCAAACACATGAACCCTGACAAAGACAAATCATTGAAAGGAATGGTATAGAAACCTTTGGCTGATCTCAATAACAGGTAGTCAGGAATACATCAGTACTTTTCTGCCTTTTTGTATGTAGCTTTACTACAAATGACAGTAAAATATTCAGAAATAAAGCTAAGCCACGATAAACAGAAAATCAAATACCAAACTAAATTTAAAGAGAAACTGTTGAACTATAAGAAAAATAAGTGCAGTCTAGATTTTGTGCATTTGTGGGGAAAAAACCCTGAGATTATCAATTGTGTGTAGTCCTCTTCTGCAGACACTGAAAACAATGCATCAATATAACTCGTACAGTGGATTAATTTACAGTTTAAACTTGAGCTAAATATTACCCTTGAATATTTGCTTTATATTGAGAGAACAAATTCTCACAATTTAGGAAACCAATTTAAAAAGCTAATGTTGACTTAAAATAGTTAAAGCTCCTAACAGCTTTGTTTAAATAGTTTCTATTTTATTGCTTAAGTTCATCTTTTTAACAACCTAAGGGTAATGCAGGTATTTAAAGTCACAAAGGCCCATTACATTTCTACTAATAAGGACAAGACAAAACGAGTTTACTGAAAATAGACATTTTCCCTTTGCCCTCTGGTTTTACATTTTTAACATACAGAACAGACAGATCACATAACTAGACTGTAAAACACTGACTTTTTTTAAAAAGAATGTTACAATTGTATCTTTGAACCTGTGACAATTATAATTCAAAATAAATTTGGCCACTGGGTATTTCGAGTTAGTCTGTGTGACCCTGTGTTCCTCTCTTCAGAAGTGTCAGTAATGCATTTGGCCAATAGCTTGAAACATGAATTGTAAATTAACACAGTGTATAATCTTGGTAATGTGAAGAGAGTCCCAAATATTTGTTTTTTTTAAAATGTTAACATTAGAAGAAAAAAAAACTACAATCACCATCACCTCTATTTCCTGAAAATTCAGTTGAGGTAACCTCTGCAAGTCACAGCTCCACATCTACACACAGTTCTGACCCTCTTTTTGGCTGGGCTGTGGTCAATAGAATCTGAAGATATATCTCCAGAACCTGAAAGCATAGAAAAATAAATATAGGAGAAGGAGTTAAGACAATTCAGAATGAGTTCAAGTTTTCTATCTTCTGTAAATAAATTTGAATATTCACAGCCAAGTTATTAGAATTGCCTTGAAAGGATGGTGTGGGCTAATAAGAGGTAAAATGTTTGTCATTAGCCCCAATTTGTAAGAATGGATCTCTGAAATGATCAAACTTATTCTTAAAATCCAATGTACAAGCATTCATGTCATACATTACTTTAAGAGCCATAAAGCAAGTTCAAGTAATAACAATATGTAAAGGGCATCATACTTAGGAAAACAAAACACTTACACTGTCACAGTAAAGCAAGTAGAATTAAATGTTCTTTTTAAAAGTCAAATTCAAGTAGGAATGTAATACATTCACATATGATTTAAGTCATATTTTTAATCTTTTGAATATATATCTCTTAGTAAATATTCAGAAATGTAGGCTTAAAAATTTTTAAATACAAGTAACATTGAGAAAAGATGTTCTAATAAATAAGCTTCCATATGGAAGTTCTGAAAAAAGCAGGCAGCAATGTGGAATAGAAGCCAGAGCGTGACTTGGCACCAGGTCAGGTAGACGTGGATTCTAGCATTAGCTCTATCAGATTAGCTTCATGCCCTTGAGTAAAAAACATACATTCAGATAGTCTCATTTTCTTTTTCATCCTTAGTATTAGGAGCTCTAAGGGTTTTCCTATTCTGATTAGATACTTCACTCTGTAACAACTTAACACCTATGAGACTGTACTTAAAAACCATACCTTTCATTTGATAATCAAAAGTGAGCTCTTCTCCAGCACGTATGGTTCTCGTGGAAAATAATGCTATTCGGGGAAGACGGGTATCGAGGTTATCAATGAAAACATTGAACACCTGAAGATTTGGGTCACACTAGAAAGGAACATTAGAACTCACTTAAGTAAAAATGCCATGAACGAGCTCTTCTACATACCATACACAATCTCTAATTTCCCAGAGTGTTAGTTTAAGATCTGCTAGCAAGTAAGTTGCTTGTCGTTTGAGGAATTTGAGGCATGCAGAGTTAAAAATACTGTTTTCCCTTACAGAAAATTTCAGACATACAGAAAGCTAGAGAAAATAAGTCCACGTATAGCTACGATGCAGATTCAACAATTATTAACGTGTTTGTCAATCTTGTTTCATGTAGTCTTAACTGTTTTTGGAGAATTTTAAATGAAAATCTTAGTATCATCTCACCTATATTTTGTTTTAGTAAGGTGTATTTAAAGAACTAGAGTAACTTTTAAAAAAATCAAATCAGCACTGTAGAACTCAAATTTCATATTGCACGGGGTTCCACTTCCTAAACTTTTATTTGAAATTACTTGGTATTTTAAGAACGCTACACTAAATTCTGGAACACGCAAGAAAAATCCAGTGAATCGTACTAAGAAGTCAAAATAAGTGTTTAATGGTGCCTGATTAGACTGTATCTATTTTGAGAGTATCTCAAATTTATCACTAAGAAAAAATTAAAGTAAATGTTTAAGTAAATCAGAAAACAAAGGAGTCAGAAGATCTCTGACATTTCACTACTAATCATAAACTAGTTTCTTGGTATAAAATCCATCAAAAGACTAACAATCTACTTCCTTATATGGTCCGCTACATAACTTACTCTCTGAGACACATTTTCGTTGTAATCTATAAAATGGAGATAATGTCAGTCTCACAAGCCTAATAACATTAGGGTTATCCACCTGGCATTCTGTAGGTGCCCGGTAACGCTTAGCCTCCTTATTTTTGGA